GAGGTGCATCTGTTTAGTTAGAAATGTCTCAAGCTTATCCTTCTTATGGCAGGGTAGTACTCCACTGTATTAAAAAATGCTCCACATCTTCTTTGTCTATTCATTGATTGACTGGAGGGCTGGGAGACGGCTCAGTAGAATAGGCGCCTGCCTGGTAAGCGCAGGGTCCTGAGTTCAATCCCTGGTACCACCAAAAAAATAAAAAATAAAATGATTGATTGTTACAAACTGTGCTGCGTTAAGTATGCGAATATCACTGTGATATGATGCTTTTAATTCTTTTGGGAAGATACCAAGAAGGGGAATAGCTGGGGCGAATGGGATCTGTAGCTCAAGTTTGTTGAGGACTCTTCGCATTGATTTCCACAATGGTTGCACCAGTCTGCCCTCCAACCAATAGTGGAGAAAGGTTTGTTCGTTTCTTCCCCCATAGCCTGCCAACATTTGGTATTGGTTGATTTCCTGATAATAGCCATTCTTTCTGAGGTGAGATGGAAGCTCAGCATTGTTTTAACTTTCATCTCTCAAATGACCAGTGATGTTGAATATTCTTTCATACATTCATTTTCTGTTTTTACGTGTGTGTGTGTGTATGTGTGTGCATGCAGCATCTCACTGCACAGCCCAGACTCATAGTGATCCTCCTGATTTCTGCCTCCCAAGTGCTGGGATTACAGGCGTGTGCCACCACGCTCGGACTCCACCTCGGCTCAGTGCACCCAGGGGCGGGGCCAGCACGGCAAGCGGGGCCAGGGATCGAACCCTGGCCCCCGTGCTTACCTAAGCAAGCGCTTAGTTCGCTGAGCTATACCGCCAGCCCTTGTTTGTACTTCTTCACCTGACAAGTATCTGTTCATTTTAGATGCCCATTTCTTGGACTGGGTCTTTGAATGTGGGGGAGCCCTATTTTTTGAGTTCTTTATATATTCTAGATACTAGTCCTTTGTGTGGGGAACGCTGCCATATCTTGTCCCCATGCTGCATGTCATCTTTTCACTCTCTTGGTGGTTTCTTTGGCTGTGTAAGATTTTTAATTAGATGCGATCTCAGTTGTTGATTCTTTGTGATAGTTCTTGTGTGATTTGGGTTTTGTGCATAAAGTCTTCATCTACATTAATGTCTTCAAGAGTTCTACCTATTTTCCGTCGGATTTAGTGTTTCTGCTTTAATATTTAGATCTTCGATCCAGTTTGACTTTAGTGTAGTGTATGGTGAAAGATATGGGTCTAGTTTTAACCTTCAGCCTGTGGAGAGTCAGTTTTTCCAGCATCATTTGTTACACGGGCTTTCTTTCTTCCAGAGAAAGTGTTTCACTCCTTTGTCAAAAGTAAGGTTGCTGAGTGTGTCTGGAGGTGTTCTTTTCCATCTTCTTTGCATTGTGCTACATCTACAGCATTTGCATTTATTTACTGTTAGTATTATTTTTGTATTTTAGGGAAAGGTCTGCAGGATGTTCAGGGTCTCACTACTAGATTGGGCTCGTAGTGATCTGCCTGTTTACAGCCTCCCAGGAGCTGGGATTACAGGCATGTGCCACTATGCCCAGTCCGCCATCGCAGTGCACCCTGGGGGCAGGGCCAGCATGGCAGGCCCAGGGATCGAAACCCTGGCCTCTGTGCCTGCTCGCAGGCACTTTTAATCCACTGAGCTGTTTGGCTATTGTTATTATTTTGAGACAAAGTCTTATTAATTTGCTAAGTGCCTAGGCTGGGCTCAAACTTGGGGTCCTCCTTTCTCAGCTTTCCAGAGTGCTGGGATTACGGAATAGAAGGGTTTATATACAAATGTAATAGAACTGAGAAATGTGTGGAAAGATGCACTTCAAACTGATGGAGATGGGCAGCCTGAGGAGTGGAGAGAGATTACGGCAGGCCCCGACCGAGGGCTGGGAAGCTCGGAGGTGGAGACCTTGCCTCACACACACAAAGCCCTGGGCTTTGTACCAAGCTCTGCAAAACACAGCTCAACAACAACGATTTAAAATTTAAAAATCTGAACGATGTAGTGAGACCCTGTCTCAAAATTTAAAAAGGCTCAGGGGTGTAACACACTGGTTCAGTGTCCTGGGTTGGATCCCCAAAAGCAAAACAAACAAAAATCAAAGAAAATCTTCATACTTCTTTTGAAACAAACTGAGTACAACGAATTATTTGCATTAATTTTATTTTATTTTATTTTATTTAAAATAAATTTATTTATTTATTTGTGTGTGTGCGTGTGTGTGTGTGTATGTGTGTGTGTGGCCAGCTCAGCCCGCCTGGGGGCGGGGCTGGCTGGCATGTGGTGCTGGGGGATTGAACCGCGGTCCATGTGCTTTGCTAAGCTTGTTCTAAGTAGGTGCTTTAGACCACTGAGCCATCTCACCAGCCCTGCATTAATTTTATTTATTTTTATTTTTTAAAATATTCTTTATTAATTTTTTTACTTATTTATGTGTGTGTGTGTGTGTGTGTGTGTGTGTGTGTGGCCAGCTCAGCCCACCAGGGGGCGGGGCTGGCTGACATGTGGTGCTGGGGGATTGAACCCCGGTCCCTGTGCTTTGCTAAGCTTGTTCTAAGTAGGTGCTTTAGACCACTGAGCCATCTCACCAGCGCCCCCTGCATTAATTTTAGACACAAGTTTTGTTTGGCTTTTGTTTTTCCCTATTTGAGACAGAGTTTCTCACTATGTAGTTCAAATTGGCCTTGAACTTTTCGGATCCTCCTGTCTCAGCCTCCCAAGTAGTTGGGATTGCAGGCAAGAGCCACCACCCCTGGCCACAAACGCTGTTGTTGCTGTTGGAGTTGTTCTGTTTTGGTTTTATTGAGATCAATTTTCACTGTGTAGTTGGGTCTAGACTCCAACTCACAGAGATCCTCCTGCCTCAGCCTCCCAAGGGCTGGGATTGTAGCTGCATACCACTTCACCCAGCCACAAGATTGTTTAAAAATAAAACTGCAGCTAGTACTTAGGAGGGCAAGGGGGTTTAGGGATACGCTGAAGGGAAGATTTTGTCCAGTTGCTCTCACGGACCTGACCCAGCAGTCCCTGGGGACTCTGTCGCTACTGTCCCCTCCCCCTTCTCCACAGTGCCGCAGCGTGTACAACGCCTCTGACCGCTGCAACTTCGTCCGCTCCAACCCCGACTGCCGCAGCTACGGCGGCTACCTGGACTACCTCGAGGGCCTCTTCTGCCACTTCTCGCCCCGCCTCCTGCCGCTGGCCATCACCCTCTACGTGAGTGCGCGTGCGTGTGTGCGTCCCTTCTGGGGGCCCGGGAGCAGGCCACGTGGCCAGCGGGGACTCACCTGTCCGCTCTCTGTCCCCGCCCAGGTTCTGTGGCTACTGTACCTGTTTCTGGTCCTGGGAGTCACCGCAGCCAAGTTGTGAGTTGGCCCCTGGTTTGGCGTTGTGGGGCAGGGCTCATGTCTACGGAAGCCCTCACTGTCTACTTTTCCTCCACAGCTTCTGTCCCAACCTGTCAGCCATCGCCACCACGCTCAAGCTGTCCCACAACGTGGCAGTATCCTTCAGCCCGGGGTCCCCTCCCCGGGGCGGTAGGCGCAGGGTGGTGGCTCGTGCCCCGCGGGGCCCCACACGGACCCCTCCTTGACACGCTCCCCATGGTGTCACCTTCCTGGCCTTTGGCAATGGCGCCCCTGACATCTTCAGCGCACTGGTGGCTTTCTCCGACCCACGCACGGCCAGCCTGGCCATCGGGGCTCTGTTCGGTGCGTGTGGCCCGGCAGGGGCTGGGGGAGGTGCGGGGTGCAGGGTGCTGATGTGCTGTTGTCCTCCAGGTGCCGGCGTGCTGGTCACCACCGTGGTGGCCGGGGGCATCGCCATCCTGCGCCCTTTCGAGGCTGCCTCCAGGCCCTTTCTCAGGGACATCGCTTTCTACATGACGGCTGTGTTCCTCACTTTCATGGCACTCTACCTGGGTCGGGTCACGCTGGCCTGGGCTCTGGGTGAGCAGAGGGTGCTGGGCACACGTTCTGGGCCGGGCCAGAGCCTTGGGAGGGAGGCACTTTGTGTAGAGGGTTGGAGACTCCACGGGACCACAGGGCCCCAGGACCCAGCGCCTAGGGGCGGGGTGGGGAATGGGCTGCTGGGTGACACCACCCCCTCAACGCAGCCTGCCTGGGCCTGTACGTGTTCTATGTGCTCACCGTGGTCCTCTGCACCTGGATCTACCAATGGCAGCGCAGGAGATCCCTGGTCTTCTCCACGCCGGGGACACCAGGTGAGGTCTGCGTCGCAGCCCTGTCCCCTGTGTGTGACCCTTGGGGCATCGATGCTGGCTTCCTATCCCAGCCTCCTCTGTGCCATCAGCCTCCTCTCCCTCTGTCAGGGTCCTGCCCCCACCCACAGGACACCTTGTGATTTGGCTGAAGGAATACATGCACATACACAAATATGTATACAACTGTACAAACGCACAACAAACCCACGACACCCAAATGTACAGTCTACACATGCAGATATACACAACACGTGCACATCCACAAATAATGCACAGAACACACTCAGACAGGTACAAATCCACAAACTCGTAAACATTTACACCAGCAAGGTGTGGAGGTACATGTCCATAATCCCGGCACTCAGAAGGCTGAGGCAGGAGGATTGCTATGAGTTTGAGGCCAGCCTGGGATACACAACAAGGCCTTTATCAAAATTAGTGCCCTCCCAGCACCATGCTGGGGGCCCAGCGTTGAGCCCCCAGGTCTCCTGCTGTCTCCTGCAGAGCTGCTGTCAGACTCAGACGAGGATCACATGTCTTCAAACACCAACAGCTACGACTATGGTGAGGCCGGTGTCCTGGCGCCTGGCAGGGCTGGGGTAAAGATGTGGCAAGATGGGGCTGCCTCGGCCCCACCTCTCCCCACAGCTGGCTGCAGCTGGGCAGGGGTGTCTGAGCAGAGAGACACAGAGGGCAGAGTGTGCCCTGCAGCCAGCTGGCCATACCCCTGTCCATGCTTGCAGGTGACGAGTACCGGCCACTATTCTCCTACCAGGAGACTACACTGCAGACCCTGGCCCGGGCCCTAAATCCCCTGGATTACCGGAGATGGAGAAGCCAGTCAGTGTCCTGGAGGGTCCTCAAGGTGCTCAAGGTATGAAGGGGTCCAGAAGCCAGACTCCCGGCTCCTCAGCCTCACGAGCAGTCATGGACTGTGCCTGCATCCCACAGGAGGTCTAGCTACACTGTGACTGACCTTGGGCATGTTTGGGTCTCAGTTTCCTCCCTGTAAGATGGCAGCCATGGCACAGTGCTGTGCTGTGAAGTGGTTGTATTAGTCAGTGATTGCTGCGGTGATGCTGGGTAACAAACATTCCTCCCCTGTCATGTAGACTTTTTCTTTTTTTTTTTCAACATTGGAAATCAAACCCAATGGTGCTCTGCCACTGAGCTCCATCCCTATTTCTTTTTCTTTCTTTCTTTCTTTTTTTTTTATTTTGAGAAAGAGTCTCACCGAGTTGCTCAGGTTGACCTTGAACTTGTGATCCTCTTGCCTCAGCCTCTTGAGGAGCTGGGATTACAGGTGTGCACCACTATCCCCAGTTCTGTTTTACTGAGCTATTTCCTCCCGTGGCCAACAGGTGGAAAGGTGCCTCAGAGTTCAGGCTGGCTCATGGTATAGGTCAGCCTGTGTCACAACCCGGAGCTGGCAGGCACCTGTTCTTTTCTGTGTGGGAGAAACCATGGCAAAGGGCCTCACTCTGGCTTAGCAACTGGGATCCTCCTACCTCAGCTCTATAGTGCCGAAACTGCAGGTGTGTGCCACCACACCCAGCTTCCTTACTAATTTAGTTGTTGGTTAAATACACAGGATGTGGAGTCAAACAGAGGTGGCTGGGGACAGGATTCTTAACCTCCCTGGGCTTTCTCTGGATTTTCAGAGCTTGTCAGGATTAGCATATGAGCAGGGTAAACCACAGCCCCACCAGAGACATCTGTGTCCTCAACTCCAGAACAGAACCTGGAGGGATCTCTCTCTCTCTCTCTCGCTCGCTCGCTCGCCCTCTCTCCCTCCTTCTCTCCCTCCCTCTATCTCTCCCTCCCTTCCTTTTTGTACCAGGGATTGAACTCAGGACCTTGTACTTGCCATGCAGGCACTAAAGCCGCTGAGCTATCCCCCCGGCCCGGCAGAGGGGCTTCTCAGACATGATTAAGGGTCATGAGGATATGATTAAGGATAGTCTCCCGGATTTTCTGGGCTGGCTCAGTGTAAGCAGGGCGTCCTCATTGGAGAAGATGGAGACCAGGACCTGGCCCAGTGGTACACACCTGTAACCCCAGCTACTCCAGAGGCTGAGGCAGGGGGATTCCAAGTCCAAGCCCAGCCTGAGCAACTTAATGACTTACTGAGACCCCCATCTCAAAATAAAAAATAAGAAGGGACGGGCTCGTGGTTCAGCACTGTCCAGCTCCAGTCCTCAGTTCAAAAAAGAAAAAGCAAAAAGGGAGGTGGAGGATGAAGGCGGGGGTGACTCCAGTGACGGACACAGTGGTCACAGCGTGAGGAGCAGTGCTGCGAGCTGGGGAGCTTGGGGCCTTGGAGGCCAGAGAGGCGGGCGATCCGTCCTGGGTCTGCGCTCTCTGCCGTCTTGGGGGTGCATAGCCTTGTCCGCAGCACAGGGAGGGCACTGTGGCCTGAGGAGGTCCCCCTCCCGCCCGCCTGCAGCTGCCTGTGGAGTTCCTGTTGCTCCTCACTGTGCCTGTCGTGGACCCGGACAAGGACGACCGGAACTGGAATCGGCCACTCAACTGTCTGCACCTGGTCGTCAGCCCCCTGGTCGTGGTCCTGACACTACAGTCGGGGGCCTGTGAGTTCCTCTGGGGCACAGAGCGGGGCACACGGCAGGCACTTCGTGTGTGCCACTGGGGTGTGGTGCACACACATGTCATCCCAGCCCTCGGGAGGCCAAGTCAGGGGCATCGCAGCAAGTTCTGGGCTACAGAGTGAGACCCGATGTCACAAAAACCAAACCGAAACAACAGAAATGCGGTGCTGTCATTGCCGTGTGGCTTCTCCTGGTCTGGGCCACATCCCTGGAGCCTGTTTTCAGTGCCCCTCATGGAGTCCCCTGCTCTGGCCCTGCTGTGCCTGACTCCTGGCTCTCGGAGGTCTGGCCTGGGCATGTCAGTTCCCCGAAGGGCCAGACAAAGCCGGCAGGCAGGGAGAGGGAACCCCGGGCACAGCCATCAGAGGCACGGGTCCCATCCTGTCCCTTCCAGGGCTGTGGATCCCGGGCACAGAGTGCTACCCCTCTCTGTCCACAGATGGCCTCTATGAGATCGGCGGCCTCCTGCCTGTCTGGGCTGTGGTGGTAATTGCTGGCACCGGCCTGGCATCTGTGACCTTTTTTGCCACCTCCAACAGGAACCCCCCCAGGCTCCACTGGGTAAGAACCCCATGATCATGAGAGGGAACCTGGGCCAGGGTCCCTAAACCTTGTGGAGGGCCTTTTACCCGTTCAGGGCTCGCCTCTGGGCTTTACGTCATGGAGGTAAACGTGTGCCCCATGCATTTTGCTGCCTTTCACTATGTGTGAGGAATCGGCAGCCCACAGCAGCCAGTGCGGGACGTTTTTGTCCATTGCCCTGCTGACACCCAGCCCCTGGCACTACCTTCCATCTGTATGGATTGGACCCTCTGATTGCACAGGTTAATGGAATCCTACAGCCAGTGGCCTTTCCTGTCTGGCTTCCTTAACTTAGGGTAATGTTTTATGGCTCATCTATATGGTAGCACGGGTCAGTCCTTCGTTCTTTTTTTTTTTTTTTTGCGAAACTGGGGATTGAACTTAGATCCTTGCATTTGTCAGTCAAGCACTTATCCTACTGAGCCATCTCCCCGGCCCCCTTTTGGGGTTTTTTGATAGAGGATCTATTAACTCAGGCTGGCCTTAGATTCAAGGCAATCTTCCTGCCTCAGCCTCAGGTTTGGGGTTACAGGCATGTGCCACCACGGCCTACACCCTTTCTCTCTCTCTCTCTCTCTCTCTCTCTCTCTCTCTCTCTCTCTCTCTCCTTCCTTTCTTTCTTTCTTTCAACTCTTATTTATTTGTTTGGTACCAGACGCAGCTTGGACTCATAGTGGTCCTTCTGTCTCAGCCTCCCCAGCCCTGGGATTATAGGCATGCACCACCATGCCTGGTTTTGGTGGCCTGCACGGCATGCCTGGGGTTCTGGGGCTGGCACAGCATGCAGGACTGGGGATCGAACCCAGATCCTTGCTCTTTCCAGGCAGGTGCTTAGACCGCCAAGCTATCTCCCCAGTCCCAGCACCTTTTCTGTTTTGGTAGGTGGGGTGCTTGGGATTGGGCCCAGGGCACTGCACACCAGGCCGTTGCTCCACCACTGAGCTCACCCATGTTGAGATGGCAATTGAGACTGGGCGTGGTGGCACACACCTGTAATCCCAGCACTTGGGAGGCTGTAAACAGGAGGATCACTACGAGTCTGATCTAGTAGTGAGACCCTGTAGACCCTTCCATAAATACAAAAAATAAAAAATCAATAAAAAGGAACAAGTACTCCTGTGAATATCTATGCAAGGCAGGAGGATTGTGGTGAGTTTAAGGCCAGCCTGGGCTACATAATGACTTCAAGGCCAGCCTGAATTATGAGTGAGACCCTATTTTTTAAAAAACAACATTCTGCTAACCTTTAATTGAACGCATATTATATGCAAGCACCAATTGCCTCTGTTAGCTCATTCTGTGCTGTCAGCTGCCTGAGGGATAAGAAATGTATCCATCTAACAGACAAGGAGCTGAGGCTGTGCCCAGTGCTGGCCCTGGTCCCACCTGAGGCCCTCCCTCCCTCTGCAGCTCTTTGCTTTCCTGGGCTTCCTGACCAGTGCCCTGTGGATCAACGCGGCTGCCACGGAGGTGGTGAACATCTTGCGGTCCCTGGGTGTGGTCTTCCAGCTGAGCAACACGGTCCTGGGGCTCACGCTGCTGGCCTGGGGGAACAGCATTGGAGGTGACTCTGGGCCGGGAGGGCCTCTAGGCTGGTGCTGGCATGATGCAGCGCTCCGCTCTAGCCAGAGCTACAGCTCAGTCTGTCCTCAGCACGTGCCGGGTGCCCACTGTCATTTTAGAGACACTCACGCTTGGTGTATTCATGGGGGGCGGTGGGCACATCCACACACATGCGCTTGTCTAGCTCCAGCAGCCAAGTAAGGCTGACCGGGCTGTGCACTGCTCCAGAACAGCCAGGTAAGCGGGCAGGGAGAGCAAGTCCTCGCCGTCCTTCCGCTCGCCTCTTGGCACCGGGTTCCCTCATTCTTGCAGAGGAGCTACAGGTGCTAGCAGTGGGTAGGGCATGGGTGAAAACATTGGTAGCTGTACACTGCGCCACACCCAGAGTTACCCCCAGCAGGTGCCAGGTCCGGTGGCCTGTAGTTTGTGGACTGCATGATCGAGGGCCAGGGAAGCCACCTGGCACTCAAGGCTCTCTGCTTCCCTGCAGATGCCTTCTCAGACTTCACGCTGGCCCGCCAGGGCTACCCGCGGATGGCCTTCTCGGCCTGCTTCGGTGGCATCATCTTCAGTATCCTTTCTGGGGTTGTGCTTGGCCCGAGGGTGGGCGTTATGGTTGGGAGGCAGCCAGGACGCTCTGTGTGTGTGTGTGTGTGTGTGTGTGTGTGCCCGTCCATGCTAGGTGCTGAGAGTTTTGACATCAGAATTTTCCTCAAAACCAAACTCAGTGTCAGGGATTCTTAGCAGATATGTTTGGTGCACGGTGGCTATTGCTGCTGCACTCTGGGAAGCTGAGGCAGAAGACTGCAAGTCCAAGCCCAGTTTGGGCAATTTAGTGACCGAGGCCCTTGTCTCAGAATGAAAACTCCAAGTAAGCCAGGGGTGTAGCATACCATGAGCCCTGGGTTCAGCTCCCAGTACGCAAAAGCAAACAGGAGTACCATGATAAAAGGGTGTGTTTCTGTTCCTATAAAACTTTATAAACGCAGACCTTTGCTAGCCTGGGCCAAGGGCAGTTTACCAGGTCAGTCTATGTAGGCAAGCCATGGAGAGCCAGGCCGGGGCCAGGCCCAGGGCTCTGGATGCAGACTCTCCAGGTTCTGTGCCATGGGCTGTGACAGTCATGGCAGTACCTGCTGCAACCCACTCCAGGCTGGGGCCTTTTGTGGCCGCGTGGTCCCTGCTGAAATCTGTGCTGCTGTCAGGCTGTGGCCTTTCCCCTTCCACTGGGCTTGGGTGGGACAGAGGGGCCCTGAGCAGCCTCCAGGGCCGGCGGTGACCCGTGTGTGTTAGGATCTCACCCACCATATTTGAGGCTGGCTTCAGACTCACTACGCAGCCCAGGTTGGCCTGGAGCCCTAGGTCCTCCCGCTTTGGCCTTCCAAGTGCTGGGATTACGGCTGTGCATTTCTGGCCCCTCATTTTGATCCTTGCGGGCTGGGTGCAAAGTGTATGCTCAGCACTCACTGCACCACCTCCAGATCTGGTCTCCTCAGTGGGCAGCTCGGGTGTTGGGCTGTGGGCACAGACAGCAAAGGAACCAGGCTCCTCCTTGCAGGGCACTCCAGCCTTAAGGCTGAGCCCAGCTGGCAGGAGCCCTGGCATGGCTGGGGTAGGGCAGCTGCTTCCACAAACTTCCTGAGCCTGTGCAGATATGCTGGTGGGCGTGGGGCTGGGCTGCCTGCTGCAGATGGCCCGGGGCAGCGCCGAGGTCAAGGTAAGTGGCCAGCGCCTCCCAGGAGCCTCCCCTGTCCTCCTCTCCTCTGGCCGCGTCCTGCTTACTTCTCCAAGGGAGGGCCCTTGTCTGGACTTGGGACACAAGTCTGCTTTGTAGAAAAGTTGAAAATAGTTTGCTAAGGGTTGAAAAAATGTATTTCTTGCAAGTTGATAGTGAAACCAGGATTCCTGTGTAGCTGGATGAGGCAGGAAGCCCTGGGTTCAAATCCTGACCCCATCCTTTAAACTTTGCTGGGTTACTTGGGCGAGTCAGGGTCTCTGGGCCCTGGCTTTCTCACCTGTGCAGTCAGGTGGCTAATATCCCCCGGCCTCATGGATGGAGTATGGGGTGTGGGCCGGGCTGGCCCCAGACCCAATGCTGTCCCTAGAGGGACAGGTGACCTCTCAAGCACCTAGGGATGTCCCAGGGGCACATGCTTTTCCAGTGCAGCACCTGGGACTCTGCTGTCTGGTGCTGGGGCCTGAACCCAGGGCCCTACTCACTGTAGCTGTGCCTAGCCCCGGGCAGGGGCTGCACATGTGGGGGTTTGCCTTCTGCAGGAGTTGAATTCAGACTGACAGGAATTAATTAAGAAGGGAGGGAAGCAACCAACTCGGGCTGGCTTTAAGCCTCCTTAGGCTACAGCATTTACTTTGAATACCGAGGATTAGCTGTGCGGGGAAGGGGGAGGAGATGATTCGCCAAGAGGCTGAACAGAGGAGGGGATTAAAGGGCCTTAACCTCCACCCCACAACGACTAGCTTCAGAAGTTTGCTTTTTCTGTCCGTGTTGTTTACACTCTTCCTGGGCTTAATAGGTCTCTTTTCGCTAGGGATCCTAAGGCAGGTCCAAGTGAGGTTTTAGAGCCCCGGGTGCATTTCCACACCTCAGTGCAGGTTTAGGAAATGCTCCTTGACAGTTAAATTGCCTAAGACAGATGTGAGCCAACACAGTGAATGCCTCTGGTGACTGCCTAGCAAAAAAATCCAATTTGCTTTTTAAAAACTGTATTACTTATTTGAGAGAGAATCTCACTAAGTTGCCCATGCTAGCCTGGATGGAACTTGCCATCCTCCTGCCTTGACCTCCTGAATACCGGGGTTGCAGGTGTGCCCCCACCACACCCAGTAAGTCACACATGCTGGGCATGAATTTATGCAGCACTGAAGTCCCCGCCTGGAACCTACCAGCCCCTCTGCTCGAGCCCCCCAACTGTAGGGCCCTGGAGTTGGTGTAGCACCCTTTGCCCACAGCGTCTGCTCTGTGACAGCGGCGCTCCGTCAAGCAGGCACCAGTGCAGGCTGCCGTTGGCCTTCACACAGTGCCTGGAGCACAGTGAACGCTGAACAGAGGCAGAGCATGGACCTGTGTTCTAGTCTTTGTGATAGAATTGGTGTGAGGTTTAGAAGGAGGGGTGGTGTCCCCGTGCAGGACAGGTGAACGCTGCATGCAACAGTGTGCAAACTGCCCTGCCTTGCTGCATCTGTCCCTTTGTCCCCATCTTCATGGAAGCCCCAGACCAGCTTGGGTAGCTCAGTACGACCCTCTCTCAAAAAGGCCTGGCAGTGGAGCTTAGTATAGAAGCCCTGAGTTCAACCCCCACTATTCAAAGTAAAACACAAGGACTTGTGGTTCCGTGACAAACAGGTGGGTGGCTCTCCTGCAGTGCTGCTCCAGTCTGGAAGCGGGTGACCCCGCGGCAGCGGGTGGTGCCCCCACCATGACCCTGCTGGCTGCAGCCCTCTCTCTCCCACAGCTGGAGCCCGATGGGCTGCTGGGCTGGGTGCTGGCTGGCGCCCTGGGGCTCAGCCTAGCCTTCTCCCTGGTCACCGTCCCGCTGCAGTGCTTCCAGCTGAGCAAGGCCTACGGCATCTGTCTGCTGCTCTTCTACACCACCTTCCTTGTTGTGGCCCTGCTCACAGAATTCGGGGTGATTCACCTGAAAACTGTGTGACTGAGAATCTGGTATGTGGTTGTGACACTGACGGGGTCCCAGTGGCCTCCTGAGGGGAGGGCAGGACGCCTTCTGCAGTATCTCTCACTGCCACAGCTCAGGAGACAGCGCCAATGCTGAGGACCTGCTTGGAGGGGATGTAGGCCCATGGGGCTGAGCCCCTCTGGAAGCTGGGGCTTGGGGCTGCTGGATGCACGCAGGCAGCAGGTAGCTACAGAGGTCAGCCCTGCTGTCTCTCGCTTGTGTCTGGCTGCCTGCACCTCCCCGGGCTGACGGCCGTGTGACCCTGGCAGGCAGGGGGACTCGTACAGCAGGCTCAGGATGAGCTCTAGATCCGTACAGGAGGTGGAAAGCAGGCAGACCCACCTCGCTGAGAACCTGCAGCTGCCATGCTCAGAAAGCCAGAAGGAATGGAGATGGACAGTGATCCATGTTGCTGGACCCAATGGCCCTGAGACCTCTCGCTGGGCAGCCACGTGACTGGACAGTGGCTCTCGACTGTCCTTAGGACTCTGCCCAGGACCCCAGGGTCCCCCGCTGCAGCACAGGAGTCTGCTTACCTCAGGGTGCAGGGTAGGGTCCCCGCCTTCCAATACCTAGCTCTTGTTTGCCTTCTGCCATCCCTGAAGGGATTCAGCATTTTCTAAATAAAGATGAAGTATTTCAAGTGTACAGGCAGTGGCTGCCCTGACTCCTACAGCTCCATACAGGGCCAGGTGAGCATGCACTGAAGGCAGGGGTAAGGTGGGGCGAGCGAGGCCATGACGGGCCGCTTGTAGCACGTAACCGGAAGTCACTCACAAGGCCTACAAAGCACAGGCTTTTATTATTAATACGCCAGAGATTCAGAGACGCAGTGGGTTTCTAGGTAGCAAGTCACCAATGTACAAAATCTTACAGGCTTGCTCCTGCGATGCGTACAAAATGATTGTCCGCGTGGTGTGAAGTAAGGCTGGGGTGGGGGAGGGGAGGGGCTGAACACCGTCCTTCTCACAGCGCCTTCGCCCAGGGAGAGGGCGCAGTGGCCTGTCACCGTGGACAGGCTGTGATCGGGGGTCTGCAGTGAGGGTTAGTGGTCCTGCCTGGCTACAAGGTGGGGACACAGGGGCATCTGAGCTAGATGACATCCTGGGGCCCTTGAGCACACAGCCTGGGTGGCACCTGGTGTCACTGGTCAGATGACAGCTCATCACTGGCTGAGGTCTGGCCCGCCAACCCTGCTGTCACCATGCGTCTGTCCTGTCCCGACCAAGTGACCCCCAATAGGACCAAGACACCCCCAGCTCTGGAGGCCAGATGCTCAGTTGCAGAGCCGTGCCCCCTTGTGAGGCTGCCCCTGCCCACTCCCAGAATGCCCATTCCAATACACAAAAGCAAAAAGGCACCTGGATGTGCAAATAAGGTTCCCTCTCTGGGGAAGAGAGCTCTGGCCCAGGCTCCACTGAGCTCCTGAGTCCTCCAGAGAGGAAGAGGACCATGTCATCTCCTGGCTGCCCTGGGAACTAGTGTTTTCCCAAAGGGCTGTGCTTAAAAATTTAGGACATCTGCTTTGCCCTGCTGGGGGGGAAGAGTGCACCCTGGAGGTGGCCGGGAGGAGGGGCTGGGACTGGCTGGGGCTACTCCCCAGGACCAGGCTCTGGTGGCTGTTGTCCCTGACCTCTACCCTGTGCCACCTGTCCACCCTCAGCCACTACACAGACTACCCATGAGGCACTGGGGCCCTCAGTTAGTTGGGTGTCTGCCCAAACCTCCTGCAACGACCAATCCCACCATGGAGAAACCTGGAGGGGAGGAGTCCCCACCGAGCTGCAGCAAGCTCCCTGCAGTGGTTGCCTCTGTTCCCAGAACACACAGGGGCAGGCCCATCGCAGAAGAGAACTTGGTGCAGGAGGCCTGGGCAGGAACAGGCCATGGCTTCTCTACCTGGCACTTGTGTCCTGCAGGAGGCTGTGGCAGGATTTCCAGCCTTAAGGGCTAAACCAAAGTGCACAGGAAAGACCCCTGAGGCGAGACTCAAATGGTCAACAGCACCCCTTGCCTGGCCCTGGCTGCCTGCACCTGACCACACTCTGGTCTATAACCTCACGCTCTATCCCTCCTCCCGCAAAGCACATGTATCCTGTTACATTATTTTCTGAGAAATACTGCTGGGGTGGGGAGTTCTTTCCTTCTTACTGCTCAGTGGTTTTGTCCCAAAAGTCAGACATATGCCTGTGACAAGCTATCACAGGGAGGGTTAGCAGGGAGTTCTCAGGGGATGTGGGCCAGGAAGCAGCAGCTGGAAGCCCGGCCCGCCTGGCCCTGTGGGGACAGCCCCTGTAAGGACAGGCGACTGTGGCATCTGGAAGACTGGGGCCAGGTGACTGCACGGTACCTGCCGGTCCGCTTTCTACAAACATGTGCATATATGTGAGTGTGCATTCACACATTTCTCCTGACATGTGGGGAGAAAATACTACGGTGTTATTGCATAGAAGACATGGCTTCGTGGGCTGGCGCTAGGTGACCGTCTGCGAGCGCTGGCGACTGCCGGGGGGCTGCTGGGTGTCGGGCACAGGGCCACCGCTGCTGAGGTGCTGCCGCTGGGCCTCCTGCTCCCGAGCGTGTTCTGCGTACCATTCCTGGAGGCAGAGTGCAGCAGGCTCAGAGCCACAGCTCACCCTGCTCGGACTGAGCAGAAATGGGGGTTCCAAATGTGGAGCACCTGAGCCTCCTCTTTCTACCTGGAGGTCGGCACACCTGCTGGTCAAGGGTGCCTGGCACATACCATCTTTCTTATTTTGAGCCGGCCTTCCTATGTTGCCTAGGGTGGCCTCAAACTGTGATCTCCTGCCTCAGCCTCCTGAGCAGCTGGGATCACGGGTGTGTACCACCATGCCCAGCTCATGTAATCTCTGTAACCAGGTGACCAGAGAGCTTTGGAGCTTAAGGAACAACTCAAGCCAGGAATGACGGTACATGCCTGTGATCCCAGCACTAGGCTGAGGAAGACTAGACATGGTCATCACTGCCTCAGCGCAACAAGGCTTCCAGACGGAAGGACACCCAACCGGCTGTGGCACAGGGAACCCTAGAGGGAGACGGGCAGGTCCCGAGTGGTGGCCTCCCGTGAGGAAGGCACAGTGCCAGCCACATGGTGCTCTAGGAGGGCTGAGCACTTGATGCAGTGGCCAATATGGAGACAGGGAGACCGTCAGGAAACACCTGACCTCCCACTTCTCTTCAAAAAATGCCCCAGATGGTCAGAGCCTAAGTGCCTGGGCACAGTGGGCCTCACTCCTTTTGGGAAGTCGGGCACAGTCGCTATCCCTGGGCACCGTCCTCCTGGACGCTGAGCCCCACTGCCTTGGTCCATCCCGACTCTCGCTGTAGTATGTTCATCTGCAGCTTGGTCAGAGCGAGACAGAAGGTGCCACGGGGCCAGGGGCTGTGCTGGGCAGGAGGGCCAGGTCCATGGGGCAGGGCAGAGGGATGAGGCTGGGCGGGTCTGGCCCTGAGTCCCAGATGCCCTGCAGTGTCCCCAGCAATGTCCTGTCTCCTGAGCCTCCGTGTCTACTGGGGCAGACTGAGGCCTCCCAGGGGAGCAGCCTACCTGGATCTCCTCCTGGTACATCTTCAGGCTCAGGTCGCTTTTGGTCCTTGACCGCCGCCCCAGAAACACCAGGGAATTTTGCTAAAGAAGAGCAGAGGCTGCTGCTGAGCTTGGCTGTTGCTGGCCCTGGACCGGCCTGTGCTGGGCTCAGTGCGGAGCTACGGCGCTCTCCCACCCTGCCCGTGCCTGCAGGAGTCACCCGAGGGCAGCGAGGCTGCAGACCCGCAGGCCTATGCCCCTCACCTGGTACTTCTCCATGTGGGCAAGCGTCTCAAGCAGCCGGGTGACATCAGATGAGGCCCCTCGCGCCTCACGGTATAGCTCCAGGATGGCCAATAGCTCCTCCCTGGAGATTTCCTTCTCCAGGGTGATACCACCATCCACTGCAAGGAGGGAGCTAAGCTCCAAAGCCACCCTCGTGGCCACACCTTGGGGTCACCCTCCCCTCCCAGGGGTGGCAGGACGTGGTCTGGGGCTGCGGCTTCCTCGCAGCCCCACCAAGCCTGACTTGCTAGATGAGCTCAGGGGATTATCTGCCATTCAGTGTTAGAAAATCAAGGCTGGATAGATACGCTGAACTGCCAGAGGCACCAGGGAGCTGACCCATCAGACCACCAGGCAGCCACCAAGCCGACAGCCAGCCATCAAGGTGACACTGAATGCGGACAGACGGGCAGACCGACGACGGATAGACAGAGCCCCCCCACCTTCCGAGTCCTGGCTCTTGCGGCTGTAGTTCATTCGGAAGACAAAGGCCTCCAGGATGAAGGCCACAATGATGGTCATCACCACCTGGCAGGGGAAGGAGGTGTCAGTAGCTTTTGCCAGCACCCCAAAAGACTTGGAGGAAGAGGAAGAGGAGAAGGAAGGACACACAGTCCTGACCCACCATAGTCACGATGTAAAAGGTCATGAAGTACAGGCGGCTCCAGTGGGAGGTCTGTGAGGTGACACCTTCCTGTGAGGGGACAGGGACATGAATAGTGAGCTGGAGCACGGGCAATGCTGGCCCTGTCTGCCGAGGCCACTTCACCTGTGGCCCACAGTGACTGCTTGTTTCAGCGCCTCTGGCTGGCAGCCAGAGTGGCCCAGCTTCCTGGGGTCTAACAGGTCCTCCAAAAGCGTGGCTATGGCCAGAACACATGGTCTGATCCAGCAAAAGCCATGCTGTTGCTGCTTCCCTTTAGAGACTGTGTCACCTAGGCTGGTCTTCAAGTCCCAGGCTCAAGGAACCCTCCTGCCTCAGCCTCCTAAGTGCTGGGCTTTGGAGCTTGTCACCATGTTCAGCCTGTTGCACTGTTTGCTGACTGAAGTGTCACCTTTATGCACTGGGGGCCTCTCTGGCTGTGGGGAGGGGCCCGAGATCCTCACCATGATGATGTACCAGTTGTTGACAACCGTGAGCTCGAACAAGGTCACTGCGGAGGGAAGGGGACAGAGACATGTCCTGATAGACTGGCCTCCGAGGCCTCTGGCTCCTCTCCCAGGCCCGTGGCGATGGGGCCACTGTGTGCCACCTGGGCTGAGTGCTCTGGGAAGGTCTGGGCACACCCTGTGCCTCAGCATCCCTGCGGGACCAGGGCAGGCTGGGGGATGGGAAGTTTCTGTCCCACCTGAGTGGGTGCGGGCGTGGGGTGTCAGGAGGGCTCCTCCCTTCTCTCAGGAGACCACTTTCCTCCAGCCCCTGAGGCCTAGCCATGGAATTGGGAGACAGAGCAGAGCTGGGGGCCTGAGTTGGGGGCAGCACTTGAGCGGCACCCCCTACAACTGACATAGATGAGGGGAGGGCTGGCCCCAGGCCCTGGTAGGACAGACCACACCCTCCAGCTGGGCCCAGCCACAGGCTGGGGACAGAGAGCCTCACACGGCTTTGCAGGGACCAGGGCAGCGGGCTGGCAGCATCCGCTTGGCGACTGGCAGGCTCCACTCACCAAAGCTGTTGAGGATGTTGTCGAAGTTGTTGAGATAGTAGTAACCCTCCTCCACCACGGTCTTGTCGCCCACAGTGTGGTTAAGCCAGCGGTAGGCATCTGCCACAGTGCTGGTGCTGGCGGGGGTCAGGGGCAGAAGGGACCACAAGATCACTGTCTCCTCAGCAGAAGACACCTAGGCAAGGCCTGGCCATGGGTCCTTCCTGCTCTGCTCTAGCTCCTGCTGTGTCCTGCCCAAGGGGGGCCTGGGGGATCCACCCAACACCGCCACCTCGAGACAGCCCGAGTCCAGAGCCTCCTAGGGACCCCAGCCACTCACTTGCAGCAGTTGGGGTAGAGAAGCCCACAGAAGAACTCCATGCCCACAATGGCGAAGGAGTAGTAGAAGATGAGCAGCGTAAGGCCGAGGCTGGGGGAAGCCAGAGGGGTGTGAGTGGGGCAGAGGACAGTGGGTCACCGTCGCACCACCCCTACCCCCGGCATCTGCAGGAGACTCTAGGGTGGACACCCCGAGTGGAGTTTCACCCCCTGTGGCCCACCTCCGTAGGAGCCCCAGGAGACAGGGCCGTGAGTGAGCTGCAGCCCCACCCACCCACAGGTACTGGGAGGGGCAGTGGGGGAAACTCGCCCCGACACCTCCCAACACCCATCTCCTGGGCCACATTCACAGAGCCAGGCCTGGGCAGTACCTGGCCATCCGCGGCAGCAGCTCAAACATGGTGTCCAGCACGTTGCGGTAACGTTTCTTCAGCTTGAACAGCCTGGCCAAGGGGAGGGCAGTGGTCAAGGAGGATGCCCAGGCCACCGGCCTTCCACACCTGTGCATCAGAGGCTGCAGGGCCTCATGCATGTGGTACAGGATGGTGGCAGCCCATTACTGAGGATGAAAGCCTGGGCCTCACGCATGCCAGGCAAGCACTCTGTCAGAGTCATTTCCCAGCTCTCTGCTGGGAGAGATCTCACTAAATTGTATGGGTTGGCCCCAAACTTGCAATCCTCCTGCCTCAGCCTCTCTGGGCTGGAATGACTGGCGCATATCATCATTCCCAGCTTCCCCACAGCGCCTTATAAGGTGGTGAAGAGAGTGGCAGCGACTCTGCTAGTTTACACATGAGGCAGGCAGCTCAGTAAGGGCCGAGGCCACGCTCTAGACGGCATGGCCAACTGGGAAAGAGGCAGCAATGCCCACAGCTACAGGAGCTTACTGCGAACAAGCGGGTGGTTCTGCATGTGAGGAAGGCCATGCAGGCCACCAGTGTGCGCACCGTGCCAGTAGTCTCTTCCCCAGAGACCCAGCCAAGAAGGCCTTCAGGGGAGGAGGCGACAGGACCGTGTGTGCAGCTGGGCTGTGGCTGGGTGGAGAACCCAGGCCCCCGAGGACAGGAGGTGCTGAGCCATGGGAGTCTCAGGGCCCGCTGACTCCTCATGGCTCCCTGGAAAGGGACACCTGTATGAGGGACCACCCCAGAGGGGGCCAAGAAAGTGCAAGGGGTCCCTGTCAAGCTGAATGCTCTGGTGTCTGACTGTCCTCACCCTGCGGATCCCCCCATGGGCAGAGTTCCCGAAGCCATTGGGGTGGCCAGTCAGGGTGCCAGAAGCCAGGGTGGTGGGGAGCAGCCTGTGCATCCTGCTCATGCCTGCAGTCTCTGCAAAGCAGTGACGCCTGTGACTCCAGCCCTGGGTCACCTCCCAGGCCAGTCCCAGGGATTCCCACCCTCCCTCTGTCCCCACTGAGCCCTGGCCATCACCTCAGCAGCTGCAGGGGACGCAGGACCACGATGAAATAGAAGGGCTCCATGTTGAGGGCCAGGGCCAGCAGGCCCAGGAAGGCAAACGCTGTGACAGAGAAGTCAAACCTGGGTCGGGGAAGAAGCCACAGTCGGCCAGCGGCCCAGGACCCTGCGTCCTCACCACTTCTGCCAGCCTCAGTCACAGCATGTTCCACTGCCCCAGGAATATGGGGTAGTGAGCCAGGCCCAAACACAGCACAGGCTTCAGGGTCTGGCCTTGGGGCTGACCCCTGGGGCACAGATGCCCGAGAGCCAGTCCAGAGGGTCACACTGGTCTAAGGGCAGGGAGGACACAAGATCCAGGCTCCAAAGCACCCCACACAGCTGGTCATCCAGGGCCACCCAACCCCCAGGCACACTGCTGGAAGGGGCAAGGCCTCCAGGGTGCCCCGGCAGAACAGGACAGAAGCTGTCTCGACACACAGGGACTGTGTCCTTGCCGGTCTTCTGCATGTGGTGCTGGGCAGCTCTCTGACATTAAGCATTATTTTCAAGCCTATTTTTATTTTTAGTTTTTTGAGACAGAGGCTCACGGTGCTGCTCAGGTTGGCCTCAAGCTACTGGGCTTAAGGGATCCTTCTGCCTCAGCCTCCCAGGCACCTGGACCGGAAGGCACAGACTGCCCTTTGGTAATAGGTAACTGTTCCTCTCATGACCCAGGCCTCAGGTGGGGCCTGATTTCACAGGTGATTCACAGCCACAGGGCAAGTGCGGCGTGGTGCTCACCACTGCTAACCATGGGACGTGCGGGCACCTTCTCCGGGTGCTGTGGTTTAGTGGAGGACAAGTTTAATGTCCCCTGTTGAGCCAGCATGGTCAACCTCAGGGCCACTGCCCAGAAAACAGGCTAGGGTGGCCGCATGAGGCATCAGAACCATGATGGGCAGACAGCACATGAGGGAGAGGCCTGGGGGCCAGAAGAGTGCCAGCCCGCAGCAGGACCAACAGCTGTCACTTACAGGTTCCATCCGGAGGACAGGTACTCCACAGGGCCCAGGCCAGCCACCTTCAGGAACAGCTCCACCCCATAGACTGTGGGCAGGAGGGACGGTCAGACAAGTCCACCCCCCCACCCCCCGAGGATGGCATGCGCTACGGGACAGGGCCTGGCCTGTGCAGTGGATGATGGGGCAACCGCTTAAGAACACAGACACGGCAGCCCCCTTCTTGGGGACAGCCAGCCGCAAGGGCAGACTCCTGTGCACCTCCCTTGTACCAGGCTCAGTGCTGGGCACTACAAGGAGCAGGGAGGGAGGTGCCTGCTGACATGGAGCGAAGAGTCTGACAAGGTACCCAGGAATAGCACTGCATGTGTTGGTCACATGTAGGGCTGGTGCCTCACACCTGGCCTGGGCTTACTCTGGAGGGCAGAGACAACCACAGAGCTCAAACCGGGGTGAGTCTTCCCTTTGCAGCTCCACAGGGGAGACCCCCGGTTCCCGCAATGCCCGCCTCCCCAGGACACTCACTGGTGAGAAAGACGAGGTAGCTCCAGGGCACGTGCTTGGGGAAGAAGTTCCCACCTGCAAGACAGAGTGGGGCAGCTGAGGGCCAGCTTGCCGTGCAGGGGCTCCACCCAGCTGCAGTCCTGTGTGTGCATGTGCGTGTGCGTGTGTGCATGCTTCACCTTTCAGCATGAACGTCTCCACCAGGATCCACACCCCATTCACTGCCACCACCAAGTCTGAAAGAGACCAAGAGACCACAATGCGGGACAGGCATGTTTGGAGACATTCTGTACCTGCAGAGGATGGGGCTGCCCACATGCCTGTTTCACAGGTATTCCCTTCTGCTTGTGATCTTTCTAGGGAGCTGAATCAACCCAGAGTTTCCCTTTGGAACAAAGGAAACATAGCTGGGTTGATGTCATACCACATGCTAGGAGGCTGAGGCAGGAGTATTAAGTATAAGCCTAGCCTGGGTGAGTCAGTGGGATACTGGGCCAAAATAAAAAGGAAAAGATTGGCTGGGGATGTAGCTCAAAAAGCTCTGGGTTCCACCTCCAGTACAAGGAAGGAAGGAAATAAATCTCAAATGTCCTATTCCACAGAGAGGGAGAGAGAGAAGAGAGGAGAGGGGAGGGGAGGGGAGGGGACAGGAGGGGAAGAAAAGGGAGGGGGAGAGAATCAAAGAAAAACAGACAGACTCAAATGACCTAAAACAGTGACCTAAAGGTGTATCCCTAGTGACATTCCTAGTAATTGCCTTGTTGGGGTTGTCCTGGGATTGCTAAGACTGCGATAAAGCAAACAAGTACCTGTGTTAATGCTCTTGGGAACCTAGGTCTTAACACGCCAGACTGGTGGGTAAGCCCCAGTCCTGAACCTGAGGTATCCAGGAGAAGACACAACACAGCTATCCTACAAGGATAAGGTCCTAGCCGTGTCTGCAGAAAGACACAAGACACGATAACCAACCCGCAGCAGCGAGTGCCCTAGCCCCTCAGGTCATGGTCTCCAAACACCATTCCCAGCCTGAGCGTGCCGGGCCCTGGGGAGGGGGCAGCCGGCTGAGCCTCCAGATCAGCCCTTACCCAGGCAAGCACTGACTCTGGGAGGCACTGGTCACCTGTGGCCACGGGCACTCGAAAAGCAACGAGGGACTGAATGTTTTTCTTTTAATTAGCTTAACTGCAAACAGCCACCCATGGCCAGTGTGTCCGACAGTGTCAGCCAATGTAATCACTAGATTTCAAGAAGAGAGTTCCATGGGACAAGCTCCACGAGACAGGGGACACTGCTGCTCCCTCAGCTGGGTACGCCACGAGGGAGGAAGGGCAGAGGAGGAGCATACACGTGAAAGCGGACTTAGGTACAAATCAGCAATCACACGCCAGGCTCTGGATTTGCTGCCCAGGCTCCCATGACAGCAGGGTCACGAGGGGCTGGAAGGGCCGCCCGTGAGACGACAGCCGCTGGACCTGGTGCTGGGCACTGTGTCTGCAAGACAATCTTCCCTCCACTTTCAGACATGGGACTTTTTCCCTTCTGCTTTGTGGGAGGCAGTGACACTGACCCAGGGCCTCCCACTCTAAGGCACCAGCTCTACCACCACACCACACCCTCAGCCCATGCCTGCCATTTTCTACAGTACAAAGTCAAAAAAACGTGACCTAGGCCTCAAGTCTGGCTTCCCCACCATCTAGTAGGGCAAAGAGCTCAGGAGCTGGAGGAGAGGGCCCGGCTGTGACAACTCACACTTACACATGAAATACTGGAAGGCCTTGGACTTCACCAAGATATTAATTCCTGTTTGAAGAGAAGAAAAGTTTCAGTCAGGATTTCATACAAGAGTACAATCCCCTACCAAACGTCATGCATCTGGCAACCGGGCTTGGTGGCGGGGTGACAAAGCACGGCCTAGAGTGACACCGACACCACAGCTTGGAGCCTGAATGAGACATACAGCTACCCTGGGGACAGTGAGGGACCTGGTACCGCCATGGAGCAGAGCAAAGTACCCCCATACTACCATCTGGGCGATAGGAAAAGCCCACAGAGAACAAGGGACAGCCAGGAAGCTACTTCAGCAGCACAGCGTCTGCCTAGCAAGTATAAGATCCTGAGTTCTATTCCCAGTACCAAAAAAACGAAAAAAAACAAAACAAGGGATATGAGCTGAGCTAGATGCGCCTTTATCCCATGTCCTGGGAGGCTGAGGCAGGAGGGTCACTTGGGCCCTGGAATCAGGCTCGTGTGGGCAGCACAGCAAGACCCTGTTTCTAAAAGAAAATGAGGTCAGGAGAGGAATAAAGAACATGGAGTAAAAATAAATAAGAAGAATATGAGGTGTCAGCTATGCCCAAGGGTCTGGATGTGAGAAAAATCACAGAAGAGATTGTAACATCTTGATCTTGTTCGTAACGGCCCAGACCAAACTTTCCAACATTCCGCCCAAGAAATTTCCTGCAGCTGACCACATACCCATGCAGAATTTCAAAACTAGCACTGCACTAAGGGGCACTGCTGGGTAAGCCACAGGAGCTCCTGACTGAAAACCTTCCAAGTTCAGACTGTTCGTGCGTTATGCAAAGGGCCCTGCCTGCTACCCACACGGCCTGCCAAGAGAGGAGGGTATAACACGACATTAGGTGGAGAGGCAGGTTACAGAGAATGCATAACACAATTCTACTGCTGTTTAAAAATACACAGGGGGGCTGGTGAGATGGCTCAGTGGTCTAAAGCACCTACTTAGAACAAGCTTAGCAAAGCACAGGGACTGTGGTTCAATCCCCCAGCACCACATGCCTGCCAGCCCCGCCCCCTGGTGGGCTGAGCTGGCCATACACACACACACACACACACATAAATAAATTAAAAAAAAAATTAAAAAAAATAAAAAAATAAAAAAATAAAATAAAATAAAAAATACACAGGAAGGGGGCTGGGGAGATGGCTCAGTGGAATAAGCACTTCCTTGGCAAGCCCAAGGGTCTGAGTTCAATCCCCGGTTCTGCAAAATAATAATAATAATAATAATAATAATAATAATAATAATAAATAAAAATGCACAGGAAGGCATGCCTGGTGGCATATGCGTATAATTCCCGCACTTGGGAGACTGAGGCAAGAGGATCACTATGAGTTCAAGAACGGCCTGGACTACATAGCAAGACCTTGGCTTAAAAAGAAAAAGTAAAAAAAAAAAAAGAAAAGAAAAGAAAAAGTAAAAAAAGGTACAGAAAGCAGCACACTAGAGAATTAACACTGGTTGCCCTGTGCGTGTGTGTATGCGGGGGAGGGTCATTTTCTTCTAAATGTCTTTCTAAGTTTTCCTCAGTGACTCCCTCTGCAGGGCATTTTGCCTGCACAGGGCGAGGCACAGGGCAAGGCACAGGGCAAGGCCTAGTTTTCCAGTTAGTGATACAGGTCCTGCCACTCCCTTCCCTGCTCGTTCCTGCAGCAACTGCAGCTTTGGCAGGCACACACATGTACATGCCTGCACACATGTGCATGTGCACGCACGCACGCACATGCATGCGCGTGCACACACACACACACGCACGCACGCGCCCCTGAACCTGCCCAGCCACTCACCCACCGAGGCCCAGCCTCACCCTTGAAGATGAGGAAGGCCGTCCTGGGAAGCTCATCGAACCAGTGCTCACGGTTTCTCTTTGCCTGCAGGGCAGCAGGGCCATGGGGACAGCATGTCAGGGAGGAACCAGGACTAGGACTAGCCCTGGCTGGGTGCTGTCCACCTCCCTCACCTGCCAGCTACACCAGCTGGGGTGGGGGTGGGGTCCGGTCACTCGCCTGATGTCACCTAGGCACTGGGGTCTGTCTGAGACTCGGGGCTCTGGGCCACAACCTGCCTCCAGGTGAAGTAGGGGTGGGCTGGCCCGTGGTCCCTGAGGGCACTGCCCTCGCGTAGGGACCCACGGACCTGGAGTTTGGGGCTCTACCTGCCGCCAGGCCTGTCTCCTGGAGCACTCACCTTCCACTTCAGGGTGGCAATTTCGTAGATGTCACAGAAGTCCTCCAGGCTGTCGTAAAAACAACAAAAAGGCAGGCTGGTCTTGACAGGACCTCTGGGCTCCAGCCCCACCCTGTGTGCCCGCAGTACCCGTGCTGGGACTATGGGGTGTAAGCTCTCAGCCCCAGGCGGGGCAGCCCTGGCCATGGTTGTGCTGAGGCTGGACAGCCCGGCCTCTTCCACCAGAGGCCGTGCATAAGCAGCCAGCCTCCCACCTGCACAGCCTGTGTCTCCTCACTTGCCCAAGTCCACACAAGCAGGACTGCGAGGAGCTCTGTGGTTGACCACCCTGCTGAGCTGGAGGGTAAGCAGCTGGGCTGGTCCACCTCATTGGCGAATAGCCCTGTCCTTGTTTCCTTTTCTTTCTAAAATCGTCGCTTTGAGACAGCATCTCATGTTAAGTTGCTAAGTTGCCCGGGCTGGGCTGCAACCTTCCATCTTCCTGCCTCAGCCTCCCATAGAGCACAGTGCTGGGATTACAGGTGTGAGTCACAATGCTCGGCTCAAACACCCCTTTTCTACCAAGCGACCCAGAAAGAGATTTAAGTAGGACTTTAGCGGCTCACAAGAAAGAATCCTGATGAACAGTCTCCACACAGAAGCTGTGTGAGGAGACGAAGGCTTTGGTACCTCCTTGGCCCAGCTCTATCTGCTGCTGTCTGAGGGGCTGCCCCGCCCCCGCGTGGCATCTGCTCTCACCTCAGCAGAGGTTTGTTGCTCTGATTCAGGGCCTTGAAAGTCAGGAAACGCTCCCTAGCACTCATCCGGGGCTTGTAGAAGCGCATCAGGCCTTCGAACTGCCTGTAGGAGATGCCTGTGGGCCTCTAGGGGAGAGAGACCACGTGAGGGATCAAGAGCGCCCAGGGCCTGTGCCCTGCACAAGAGAGCCCAGGGTGACATTCATCCTACCAAGAATAAGACTGATTTTTTCTGGCCGGGCATGGTGGTGCTTGCCTGTAATCCCAGCACTCGGAGGCTGTGAGGCAGGAGAATCATAAATTCAAGGCCAGCCTGGGCAACTGAGTGACTTAAGGAGACCCCTCTCAAAACAAAGAAATACCAAAGGGCTGGAGAAGTAGTTTAGTGTGAAGGCCCTGGGTTCAGTCCCCAATACAGGCAAAGAAAGCAACAACTAAAAAAGACTTGTTTGTGAGGTTGCTGGCCCTGCCGTGCTAGGGGCCGCTCTGGGCAGGAAGGAGGACAGAGATGCCTGGATGCCACCCTCTCACCCGCTGGCTGGTGAGCAGGCGGAAGGCGTGCTGGATGGCGGTTCGCTTATGTAGCAGCAGAGACTTGAACTTGCGCTTCTCGATGTCGTTGAAGGTGTCAAACACCACGGCCAGGAGCTGGGAGGGAAGCACAGAGCTCTGGCTGCCCCATGGGGGCCTGGAGCCATCGCAGGGGCCGCCAGGGCTGGGCTCTGAGTGGCGGCAGCAGCACCGCTCACTCACGCCTTCCCTCTAAAGAAGCTGCCCTTGGCTTCCCGGCTTCCTCCTTCCTGCCATTTGTCCCTGACTGGGCAGAGGACAGGCAGGGGAAAGGAGAGCAGCAAGAGGAAGGGTCTCCTGTCCTGATGGTTCTGGGGGATCACCATCCCAGGCTCACCCAGACAGGAAAGGGCACCCCGAGCCCACCCTCAGGGAATCATGGCTGTGGGCGGCATCATCAGAGGGTATTCCACAAATGGGCGTGGCTATGCGCCAATAAAACTTTATTGACAAAAACAGGCTGGGCACTGGATCTGCCCAGTAGGCCCTTGTTTGCTGGCTCCTGCCCTAGATTTTCCTGGTTTGTGGTGTACAATAGGCCCACATCTGTTTGCTTTTGCAGTACCAGTGATTGAACCCAGTGTCCCTGCACTGAGCTACCTTCTCTTTGTATTTTATTCTTTTATTGTCAGACAGGGTCTTGCTGAGTTGCTAAACTGCCCAGACTCAGTTTGAACTTTCTTTTTCTCTTTTAATATATTTAGTACTGGTCTAGAGTCTACAGGGTCTCACTACATAGATCAGACTTGTAGTGATTCTCCTGTTTTCAGCCTCCCAAGCGTTGGGATTACAGATGTGCGCCACCATGCCCAGTTTTAGTCACCCCAGGGAACTGGGCCAGCACAGCATGCTGGGGATTGAACCCTGGCTGCTGCGCTCTGCCTAAGCAGGTGCTTTAGTCCACTGAACTATCTGGCCAGTCCTTTAGCTTAAACTTTCATTTTTCCTGCCTCAGCCTCTCAGACAGCTTAGATTATAGGTATGTCACCGGCTGAAGGACTCTCTTGCCACAGGGCCCTTATCTGATGCCCTGGGGGAGGCAGAACACACAGGGCTGTGAACACACAAGTCTGGGGCTCCCCACACAGCCTGACAGCCAGAGGGCACGCTCTCGCTGTCCAGCTCCATATCCACAGGATGTCCCCACTTTGAACAGGCCTCCTATACTGGGAAGACTCCAGGAAAATTCAAGCAGAACAGGGTGTGGTGGTGCACACCTGTAATCCCAGCACTCAGGAGGCTGAGGCAGGAGAATTGAAAGTTCAAGGCCAGCCTGGACAACTTAGTGATTTAATGAGACCGTCTCAAAATTTTAAAAAATGTGAAAGGCCAGGGGATACAGCTCAGTGCCAAGGTTCTGGGCTCAATCCCTGGTCCTGGGGGCAAAAAGAAGACACGCACAACAGGCTCAGGCACGCTTCCAGACAGCTGAGCGTGCAGGCGGCCCCTGGTGAGGGCCCAGAAGCTCTGTGTGCCCCTCATGCCTTGCCTGGTGACAGCCTCCATGACAAACCAGCCCATGTGTTTCCTGGGTTCTGTGACCCAGTCCAGCAATTCACTGAAGCCAGAGGGCAGTGGCAACATACTGCCACACACTCCTTTTCAGGGTTTTTTTTGGCTACCAGGAGTCAAACATCAGGACCTTGTACTTTCCAGGCATGTGTTTATGCTGCTGAGCTATATCCCTGGCCCTCCTTTTCAGTTTTTGTAGAATTAAATATATATATATATTTTTTCTTTTTTAGGACTGCAAAGCTCAGGGTCGGTGAGATAGCTCAGTGGACTAAGGGCCTGTTTAGGCAGTGCAGGGACCAGGGTTCGATCCCCGGCACCATATGCTGCACCAGCCCCACCCCTGGGTGTGCTAAGCTGGCTACCGAGTCCAGGCGTAGTGGTGCATGCCTGTGATCCCAGCACTGAAGAGGCTGAAAACAGAAGGATCATTACAAATATATAAATTTAAAAAAAAAGACTGCCAAGTTTTAGGTCTCATAAATCTACCGGAGAAAGTGTTTTCCATGTCTATACTGGCCTGACCTGGTGATGGTGTAACGATGCTTTTCAAAAGAGACACACATGCTGGGCTGCAGCTCGGTGGTGATCGCCTGCCTAGCATGAGCGGGAACCTGAGTTCCTTCCCCAAGGAAGGCACCTCAAAAGGGAACAAGCAAATCATGTAACAAAAGAGCTAAGCCCGTCTGGTGCCTCTGAGCTGACCCGAAGTCTTGGCAGTGGCCAGGACCTGCTGACGTCAGGAGTCCTGCCCAGGGGCAACCACGCCTCTGCTGACAGCCGCACAGGTGTAGCAGGACTCTACACTCCAGATTTCCCGGAGGCCCATGACAAACAGGGCGGAAATCGATTTACGAGATGCTCCTGGCACATGGATACAGTAAGACGGGGTGGCCTCCTAGGAGAAATGTGCATTTTTGTGTGCAAGCGGGCTGGGTTCCTTGGTCAGTGGGATGTGTTCTTTGAAAATCCCGACAGAGCCCCAGTGCAGTGGTGCCGCACCATCTCATCTTTATATGCAAACCACTTTGCGTGGGCCAGGCCCAAGGGAGACTGTGGTGCTGATGTTCACCTCAACACCACGCCTGACTGAGTCTGGCATGTCCTGCCCAGAGGCTGATGCAGGCCACCGCGGCACAGTCACTCACCAGGTTCATGATGAAGTAGAGCTCGATGGAGAGGTACACGATGAAGAAGACGCAGGACCAGGGGCTCCGGGAGTAGGAGGGCATCATCACATCCGGGAAGCTGCAGTGCCAGAGGGTTACCTGCTGCCCACGGCCACCCGCCTGGCTCCTCCAGAGACAGCCCCCTCCTCTGCCTTCCCGACACTCAGCCCCTGGGCTTCCCATGTCCACAGCAACCCAAGCGCCTGTGCACGGAGATGGGAGGGACACCTTTGGGCGACGAGCAGATGACAGTGGGCACAGAGGAGCCCAGACTCACTTGGCTGTGGTCAGAAGGACAAACAGACTGACGATGCTGTTCTCCAGGGTGCTAAAATACTGCAGGGAGGAGGGCAGGGTTACACTAGGGCACAGCGTGGAGGGGTACCTCCAGGGGCTCCCCTCCTCCTGCAGACTCCCGGGTTGCCTAGAACCCCCACCTTCCCAGGCTCCATCCACGCTTGGGCAGAAGCAGGCTCCCACTCTGGAGGACCCCTTCCTGGTGTCACATGCTTGGGTCCCCTGCCTGGCTCCTGCACTGCCCCACCAAATGCCCGGGGTTCTGGCCCCCAAGCTTGGGACCCACTTCCTAGGACAAGAAAGCAGATCCTCCAGCTCCCATCCAGTGGGAGGTCTCTCAGGTGGCTGAGACTCAGGGAGGCTGGGCGCCCGTCCTTCCTAAGACCCCAGCCTCACTCTCCAAGGAAAACCCTCCCTAAGAGACAAAACTGCCGGCTACTTACAGGGTCGGAGGGGTTAGGAGAGAACAAGTAGAATCCTGGAGTGGGGCAGAAAGACCAAAGACAGGGTTAGAGTGCGAGTGCTAGGCCAGGCCCAGCCCCCCAAAGATCAGACAAATCCACAGGTGCAGTGGCCAAGGGAGGGCACGGGTGTGGCAGGGATGCTGTGGGAGGTCCAGTGCCCCCTAGGCACTGGAGCTGCCATGGGGCAACGCCCTCCCCCAGTGCTGCTGCCCAGGCTCTACTATCTGGAAATGTACATTTTTGTGTACATGCACGTTTTGTGAAGTGCTCATTGTCATGTGCTGGCTCCAAGTTTTCAAATCCAACTTAGATCACATCCGTGGGCTGGGCCTGGAATCCAGACTGCTGGCTTGCCAGCTCTGGCTACAAGCCCGTGGTGACCACGTCAGCCCAAGGGGTCACTGTGCAGGCAGCCTATGTCTGGGCTAGCATGCCACCGCCTCCTCCCTCCTGGGATGGGCTACCCTAGGCCCGGAGACCCTAACTGGGAAGAGAAACTCCGCCCTCAGGGCGGCCTGGGGCAACCCCACCACGTGGGGTGGTGGTAGGGGCAGGGCCCACTGCCCAGCGCCGGCATGGTGCTAGCGTCTGGATCAGGGCTCCAGTGCTATCACCTCTGCCCCTTACACGGGGCACGTGGGCACCCCACCTTCTGAGTCTGGGCTCTGCTCTGAGGCCACATGGTCAGCCTACCCGAGGGGCACATGGCCTCCTAGGAGAAGGGCTGGGGCCTCGTTTGGCATCCTGGGAAGCTCAGGGTCACAGGTCCTGAGGGGCCAGGCACTGTCCCACGGGGTCTCGGGCACGTTCACCCAGAGACCAGCAGGCTCCCTGCTGTGGGGCAGGGGACGCGGAAGACACCCAAGGGCACTGACCAATGGGTTCTGGCACAGTCACTACTCTCCAGGGAAAATGAATGAGCTACAGCCTCCAGGGTCGGCTGAGGAACCCCAAAGGCAGTGGGGAAAACTGCAGCTCGCAGAGGAGACGCACACTTCCTGAAAACACATAATTTTTAAAATTGGCAAGGACACACTAGTTAGGTGCTGGTTTAGTTTTGGTGACACTGGTGAATGAATCCAGGCCTTTTACATGTAGCCACATCCCCGGTCCCTTTCTAATTTTGAGACAAGTTTTGTTAAATTGCTGGGGTGGGACTAAAACTCCCGATTTTCCTGCCTCAGCCTCCAAGGGTGCTGGGATTACAGGTGTGACACCAAGCCAGACCAGGTGATGCCATTTAATTGTGGCTTGAAGGACTAAAACTATGAAGTACAAAGGTAAAGGTGCACAGGATGGGGTGCATTTGAGGAAGCAGGCTACTGAGATCAGAGCACTCAAAGTGGTTTCCATTTCCTTCCATTACTGAGTTGGACAGTGGGTCCCTGGGAGCTACGTACTTACAGAAATTGGGTTTATGCAGGTCACCAGGCCTCTGCCCTCCTGCATGCCCCTGGCACACTCATGAAAGAGGCCCTGGGCAGCTGCCTCACCCTTCCCACCATACAGCAGGAGGCGCCGGATGTAGACAGGATGTGTCCACAGCTGATGCTGGACCTACCGAAGCCTCCAGAATTACATGCACTAATGGCCACTGGGAAAACGCCCTCCACTCGTGGGCCTGCTCTCAGCGCCCGGTGGGCACAGGTGCTCACCCAGGATGGCGAAGATGATCATGAAGAAGAGCAGCAGTAGGAGGATGTCCATGAAGGGCGGCAGGGACTGGAAGATCTGCCGCAGGTTGCTGGGAGAGAGACAGCTTCCTGAGGCAGGCCCCAGAGTGCAGCATCCCACTGCGCCCAGCAGCACCCCCTGCCTCAGGGTTCCCTGTGCACTCCAGCCTCCAGCACTTGCCCTCCCTGCCACCTCCACTCTGCCTCCCCCACTGCGCCTCCCCTGGCTCTGCCACAACAGGGACTGTCCAGCACCCCACCCGGGCCTCACCGCCGCACGCCACCACAGTAGCGACAGTCCACCAGGAAGATGCAGCGCAGCGCCCGGGTCACCCGCACGTGGGACGTCTGCCGCACCAGCACCACAATGGCCTCAACGAACTGCACCACCAGCACAGAGGTCTGGGGCCAGGGACACAGCACCATCAGTGTCCAAAGCCTGGAACACCAGAGCCTGACAGTCACAGCCCCCCCACTCTCCCTCATCTCCAGCCTCGGGGGTGACATGCAGGGGCCTGGGGCCTCACCCCTCAGGCGCTGGCCAAATGAGACAGGTGAACATGAGCCTTCTGCCAGCTGCCTGCTGGGACCTCACAGGACTGCCTGGGGCTGAGAACTGGTCCCCAGATGACAGATACTCCCAAGCACAGGCTGGGACTACAGGCCTGAAGGCACGTGGGGAATGCGATCGCTGTGTGGTGGGCAGACAGACATCACCTTGACCATGGTCCGCTTGTGCCGGACGAAGGTGTGGAGGCCCAGCCAACGCAACTTCATGCAGAGTTCAAATACCACCACCATGAGGGCGAACAGCTCCAGGGTGGCGTGGACCTGCAGGGAGGGTGCAGAGATATGTCACCGGTGATCAGGGCCATCCCATGGCTACCTCTGCCTCCGTCCTCCCCCACCAGGGACCTGGAAAACTGCCACTGGACCTGCTCCTGACACATGGCGCCCTGGATGCCCGATGGAGCCTCGGAAAGGGAGCTCTTCCTGGAACACCTAAGTACAAACTTGATATTCAAGAAACAGACTCGCTGCTCCACACAGTGGAAAATCAGGAAGGCACCAGGAATTCCAGTGAGAAAAAAGGCATTTCCTTCCTAGCCTTGTTCTAGAAAGGCCTGTGTATCATTCATAAAGGAAACATGAAGGGCACCAAGGCAGTTTGAACCAGGGGCTTCAAAACCAAAGAGGAAGGGAAGGAACAGCAGAACTTAGTGGAATCCAGGAGTCGGTGAGTCAAGGGCTGCCAAGAAAAGAGGGCCTGGAGCGCGCCTTCTGCATTGTGGAAGACTGTCCCCTAGGGCTGTCCCGAGGAATCTCACAGGGCCCTAGACCAAAAGGAGGCCAGACAGAGTCCCTGACTGGACACCAGAGTTGTGTGTGCCCCGCCTGCCTGGGACATACTTCCCAGCAGGGCTTGCAGGAGCAGAAGGGAAATCTCAGCAGGGAGAACGGGTCTCGAGCAGACCCACAGGACTAGGTGGTGGTGATGGAGGGAGAGGAGACGGCCCCCACCCACCACCCTGGTCACGGGACCGAGCTGCAAGGGTGTGTAGGGTGGGTCATCACCGGGTGCCCTGCCTGCCGTAGCCCAGGGGTTGCATGCATGTGCGCATTCATATACAGACCCCTGCCCAGGCACCCGCCACCACCCCAGCCACCCGCACATGCTCACATAGATGCCCAGGCGGAGCGCGGGCACAGCGGGTGCCTCACACAGGGTCAGCAGCAGCAGCAGCAGGGCGGTGAGCAGCTCCATCAGGTAGAAGACATGGTTGTGTGCGAAGAGGTAGGCCGCCAGCGCTTTGGCATCCTTGGGGTGGGTGAGGAACTTGTCGTTGTTCTCGCCTTCCTGCAAAGACAGGCAGGGTGGCCAAGGAGGGAAGGTGGCACTGGGGCCGGGAGGGGGCAAGGGAAAGCAGGAGACACAGACTGTCAAGATCTTACAAGGCCATGCCCTGGCTGGCGAGGGTGGGGCCGGGGAGACCGGCAGACCAGCCACTGCTTAGGGTCCCAGGATGCAGGGACAGAGAGCCACAGAGGAGGCCCGGAGGTGGCACATGTGGTGCCCACAGAGCCCAAACGTCTGCCCTGGGGCAGGGCTTAGAGCCTGCACCAACCAAAGAAGCCAAGCCCCACTTCCTGAACCGCCTCCCATGGGCCCAGAAAGTCCCTGACTGTCGCAGGCTCAATGGAGAGGACATCAATGGAGCTTCTGCAGGACCACAGCAGGAGGAAGGCCCTCAGCGGCGCAGGGACAGTGTCTAGCCCCATACTCATTAGTGTGGTGTTAAGATACAGTAACATTCAGAGGAAGACAAAGCCAGAGCCTTCCGGGCCCCCAAGAGCTGCCCGCGTCCTGCTGACTTACACGTTGCTCAGGGCTGCCCCACACCCAGGTTCTGTACTGCTTGGCTTTTTCTTTTTTCTTTGTACTTCTGTACTTGGGTCTTCTTTTTGAAATAGGGTCTCACTATATAGTGCAGGCTGGTCTCAAACCCATGGAGATCCTCCCACCTCAACCTTCTGAATGCTGGGATTATGGGCGTGTGCCATCATGCCTGCCCTATTCCATGCTGCCTATGCTACACGACAGAGCCTAAAACCTTATTCCTATGTACTGAAACCTCCTACGGTCTCACCAAGATTTCCCCCTTCCCTGGGCTCTGGTGCACCACTGCTGTCTTTAGTTCTCTGAATTTACACAGGAACAGGGGGTGCCCCGTCTTGCCGTCCTCGCCACCTCCTTCCGGGGAGGCCAGGCTGGGGACACAGAGACTCAGAGCTGGACAGGGTACCACCCTCGTCAGCAAAAATGAAAGACCTGGAGGGGACAGGCCCGACGAAGAGCACACACATCCTGGCAGTGAAAGTGCGGTGAGCTGGACGGGCTGTGGCGGTCAAGGCCACCTCTGTGGCTGTGCGGGCAGCGGCAGCACACACAGGGCCCTGGGAAGCTTCTGGTTTGAATTACTAAAAAAATGCAATTGTTGCGGAATTTCTTCCAACAAATAGCTAGAAGGAAGGCCTGGCTGCAGGAAGTCGGTGACAGGAGGGCTCGGATCCAGACCCCAGGGCTTGGAGCTCCCACAAAGGAGAGGGGGACGAGGGCTCCACCAGCCAAGATGGGGGAAATGCCACCCACGTCCCAGGTCTGATCCTAACCTCGAAGATACCAGGCTGTTTCCTGGCTGCGCTCTGTGAGCTGGGAGAGGACCAACGCAAAGGGGGGTGGTGCCGCGCCCCAGGTGAAGTCCACTGGGCCCCAGCCCTGCCTCAGGACGCCAGGACACGGAGCAAGGCTACCGAGGATGGGGAGCTGAGGGCGGACCCAGTGCTGAGCAGCCCCAGGAGCCCCCGTGAGGCAGGGTGCTGCCTCCGCCCACCAGGCCTTCCTGCACGAACAGCTGCACACAGCTGCTCACGCACATCTGAGTTCCTCTTTTATTTTTAGAAAATGATGCCTTTTTTATAAAACAATTCAAATAATTTACAGATTTAAAAGGGGACCAGAATTCCATCAGTCAAATACTTTTTCATTTCAGCATTGGGAACTGAACCCAGGGACGCTCACACTGAATTACATTCCCAGCCCTCTTTATTTTGAGATAGGATCTGGCTAAGATGCCTAGGCTGGGCTCAAACTCATGGAGCGCCTCCTGCCTCAGCCTCCTGAGTGCTGGCATTATAGGCATGCGTCAGCACACCTGGCAGTGTTTTCCTTTTTATTTAGTATGGAAGGAAATAATGTCGACGGAGACTGCTCTGAGTGAATGTTTTCTTCATTTCCTCTTTGTACTGAGTCACTCAGAATGAGCATGGAAAAGTGCTGTTTCCAAACAAAAACAACAAAAGCAAGTATGGAATAGCAGAAAGAAACACGGGGTAGATAAAACATAATAGTGTAAGGAGCCCTATGTCCCTGGCGCTACAGTGCTGACCACCTCCGCGCTGTTGAAGAACACAGGGAACTCCCCCAGTGTGGCCCTGGGACACAGAAGCCCAGGAGGGACAGCCTCAGTGCACCCCGGGCAAACACGGCACCCACAGGTGTCAGGGGAGAAAGGACGCAGTGCCCCCTGTCCCCACCCGAGACACCCACCTGGAGGTAGATGGCTGCCTCTTGGTAATTCATCTCCCAGTCATGCCTGGTGGGGGGGCTGGTAGGGGTGCTCTCGCCGCCAGAGACCAGACTGGGGGCCCGGGAGTCGTGGATGGCATGGCTGCCCCCATCTGCACAGCAAGAGCAGAGAGATTTGCTTACAACCTGGGCAGAGACCACAGAGCTTCGCGGGCTGAAAGGGCTGGGGCCACGCTGTGCTCTGGTGTCCTCCCTGGGAGCCCAAGCCAGGGCTCCGTCCTGTGCGCAGTGACAACAGAGAGAATTAGCATGGCCGGTGAGAGACGCTTTCCTGCTCTTCCATGGGCAACTCGAGGCAGAAGAGCCCAAACCGCATCTTTTCTGTCAAAAGGCAAGTAGATAAGAAAACTTGGGGCCGGAGGGATGGCTCAGTGGAATAAGCGCTTCCCTGCCAACCAAGGGCAAGGGCCTGAGTTCAATCCCCGGTTCCACAAAAAAAAAAAAAAAAAAGGAAAAAGAAACCTTGGTGGCACACACCCATGGTCCCAGCACACAGGACGCCAAGGCAGGAGGATCATTTGGCATTTGAGCCCAGCAGGGGCTACAAAGGGAGCTCAAGGCCAGCCCCAACTGCATTGTGAGACCCTGTCTCAAAAAAAAAAAAAAAAGTCTAAACCCCACCAATTTAATAGCGTACAAAACACGGCACGAACATCCCTCAGAACACCCCCATTGCAACACACTGACCCCGTCCCTCTGCTGCTTTCTGAAGCAGCTCTGGGAGCTCTCTTTCATGAGTGTCTTCAGTTGTGCTGTCCTGGCTGCTTGAATGTTCCAAGTTCATTCGCAATGTGTACCTCTGACCTTGCGGCAAAGCAGAAGCGGCACGGTGCCCGACGCCGCGGATGTGGCGGGTGAGGATGCACAGGAACGCTGCCACCGCCTGCCTTTCTGACGGAGGGCACCCGACAGCAGCATGCACCCCACTTTTTTTTTTTTTTTTAAAATCAAACTCAGGAAAAGGACTTCTAGAGCTACTACAGAAAGCGGTCAGAGCCCACACACACCTGTAATCCCAGCACTTGGAAGGCTGAGGCAGGAGGACTGCTGTGAATTCGAGGTCAGTCTGAGTTAAACAGTGAGTTCAAGGCCAGCCTGAATTACACAGCAAGACCCTGTCTCAAGACGCACACGTACACAAATACCCCCAGAAAGTGGGCAGAACAGGGGATACGTGTGTATATGCACGCATGGAGGAGTGTTGGAGGGGTTAACGGTGAAGTGTCTCTTACTGTAACAAATTTTTTTTATGTAAATACCGTATATTCTGTAAACACCATATGTTCTGATGAGCCCTTCTATATGAGTTCACTTACCATTACAAACAGAAATACAAGTAGGAAAAACATGAACTCAAGGAGACTGGTACCTGTGCAGGGCGAGTGGAGCAGCGCAGAGGTGTCACAAGTGGAGCACTCTGCGCAGCTGGGAAGGTTGATTCTGCTTGGCCCAAACTTACAGAACTGGCTCTGTTCCTGGTAGAGATCATCTGCCGCTGCTCCCTGCTTACTTCCGGGCCCTCCTTGCCCAGCACTCCGTCCTGCTCAGCCCTGGCAGAATGCTGCCTGCTTGCGTTCCACCCACACTGCTTGGTTCAGAGCTGGCCACAAGGTCGGCAGACTCACAGGGACACAGGGACCAGCGTGGCACATGATGCAGGCGCACGACCAGGCTGACCTGGGAATGTTGCCTGGGCCAGTTTGGAAGGAGGGGCTCCTTTGGGTCCCTGCCTACCTGGGAAGGAAGTCAACACAGAGTGGAATGGAACAATAGCTGGGAGATAACGCAGGCTTCCCCCTGCGAGACCAATTTGCAAACTCCAGGCTGAGAAGGCTCCTACTGGAGTGCATCTGATTGGGACTGTGACAACAATCCAGAGCTTGGTGACACATGGGGTAAACAGGCACAACTGGAAATGGCTCGTGGCTTGTGAACTGCTGGGACCAAGTGAACCTAGGATGAAAATATGGCCCCTTGCCCCCCACACACCTGCAGGAAGGTAGAGAATCAAGCATTCAGACACAGACTTGCACAGGGGTGGCAAGAACAGGTCTACAGGGCACAACTGTGTGCCGGGGACAGGAAAGGTGCGGGGCTTACAGGGATGCGCGGTCGCAAATGACGGTGCTGATCTGGAGCCACCATGCCACCAGGCCCAACTGTCTGCAAAGCTCTTCCCAACCAATTCTAAAAACAACTGCATTGAGGCACAACTGATACCCAACAAAGCACAAGTACAAGCTGCCTTTTTTTGGTCAGTAATACTGGGAAAGGAATCCAAGACTTGGTGCATGCCAGGCAAGCGCTCTGCCACTGAGCTCTCCGAGCCATGCACACCTGTGAAACCCCGCTCCAATCAAGACGACCTATGCATCGCCCCCTCCTACCTGCCTGCCTGCCCACGGGACCCCAGGCAAACCTGACTTGCTTCCTGTCCCTATCAGACGTTTCATGATCTGATAGGGGTTTTGCTACATAGCTCAGGCTATTCTTGAACTTGATCCTCCTGCCTCAGCCTCCTGAGTACCGGAATTGCAACTGTGCGCTACCAGCGTGGCATCTTAGAATTTTATAAGTCTCAGGTACTAGGCATTC